GACAGAGCATTTGGATGCATCTTGGGACAACATGATGAGACCGGGAGGAAAGAGCAAGCCATATACTATCTGAGTAAAAAGTTCACGCCTTACGAAGCTTGGTATTCTTTATTAGAGCATACTTGTTGTGCCCTGACATGGATGGCCCAGAAGTTAGGCATTATTTCTGCGCACACACCGCACACCTCAAATCGAGAATAGACCCCTTAAAGTATATTATTCAGATGCCAATTCCTACTAGCAAGTTGGTGAAGTGGAAAATATTGCTAAGCAAATTCGACATCGTCTATGTGGCTCAGAAGGCAGTCCAAGGGCAAGCATTGGCCGATCATTTGTTAGAAAATCCTATGGGTGGAGAATACGAACCATTGAAGATGTATTTTCCCGACATGGAAGTTTCTTTCATAGGGGAAGATATCGCCGAAGCTTATGATGGTTGGATAATGTTCTTCGATGGAGCCCCAAACTTCATAGGAGTGGGCATCGTAGCTGTCCTAGTATCGAAAACCGGCCAACACTATCCAGTATTTGCCAAGATCAGGTTCAAGTTCCCGTGCAGCAACAATATGGCAGAATACGAGGCTTGCATTTTGGGACTTAGGTTGGCCATCGACATAAACATCTAGGAATTATTGGTAATCTAAGACTCAGATTTGAGTTACATCAGGTACTCTGAGAGGGGCCACCAAGAATACCAAGATACTTCCATACTTACACTGTGTGCATGAATTGATCAAGAGGTTCATCAAGATAGAATTCAAGAATGTTCCCCTGCAGACACATTTGCCACCCTATCTTCCATGATACAACATCCAGATAAGAATTATATCGACCCCATCCCAATAGATACCCATAATCAGCCTTCCTGTTGTGCTTATGTTGAAGAGGAATTTGATGAGAATCCATCGTTTCATGATATCAGGGAGTATCTGGAAAAGGGAGAGTATCCGAAAAATGCTACACACACTCAAAAGTGCACATTACGAAGGTTAGCTAATCACTTCTTCTAGAGTGGTGGAATTTGTACAGAAGAACCCCTGAGTTAGGATTGCTAAGATGTGTTGATGCCAAGGATTGCTAAGAGATACATGTCGGGACATGTGGATATCACATGAACGGGTTCATTTTAGCCAAGAAGATATTAAGGGCGGGATACTTCTGGATGACTATGGAGACGGATTACATCAAGTATGTGCAGAAATGCCACCAGTGTCAGGTACATGCTGACATGATACGAGTTCTACCCAATGAACTCAATGTGACGAGCTCGCCTTGGCCTTTTGCCGCATGGGTCATGGATGTTATTGGCCCAATCGAGTCTGCCGCCTCCAATGAACATATATTTATCTTGGTAGCCATTGATTACATCACCAAATGGGTTGAAGTTGCTTCCTACAAAGCCATGACAAAGAAGGTCGTAGCAGAATTTTTCGGGACCGTATTGTCTTTCATTTCATGGTGCCTGAGTCAATTATCACTGATAATGCCGTCCACAATTATCTGGTGCAAGCCATGTGCAATACATTCAAGATCAAACACCGAATTCCACTGCATATAGACCACAAATGAATGGAGCCGTTAAAGCCACCAACAAGAATATTAAGAAGATACTAAGAAAGATGGTGGACAACTAAAAATAGTGGAACGAGAACTACCAATTGCTTTGCTTGGATACCTCACTACGGTCCAAACATCAACTGGAAAACTCCTTATTTATTGGTTTATGGCACTGAAGTTGTTATACCCGCAGAGGTAGAAATTCCTTCTCTGTGGATCATACAAGAAACCGAGCTTAGTGATGCAGAATGGATACAAAGTCTATTTGGTCAGTTGGCTCTCGTCGATGGGAAAGGATGAACGCAGTGTGCCATGACCAACTTTACCGGAATAGAATGGCAAGGGCTTTAAATAAGAAGGTTAGACCAAGAAAGCTCATATCGGGGCAACTGGTTTTGAAATAAATTTTCCCACATCAGGATGAAGCAAAGGGTAGATTCTCACCTAACTAGCAAGGTCCTTACATAGTTCACCGAGTGTTGATAAGAGGAGCACTCATACTAGCAGAAATGGATGGAGAGATATGGCCAAAACCTATCAATTTAGACGCCGTCAAAAGATACAATGTCTGATATTGCATTCACACTTTCTTCTTGATGTAACATGAACTAAGCTTGATCTGATTTCCATTTAAGAGGGGATACGTAGGTAGCCCTGTTAGTTCGGTCACATTATAATAAAATTTCCATTTTCCTCAGTGGTCAGAAACAGAGGCTAGATTTTGAGCTTCATCAGATTCCATATTGTCGCACCAAGGGTCGCCAAATGAATATTGCCGGAAAGTATCCGTTAGAACTAGGGTAGAATTTTGAGTGAGCCCACAATATTCCATTCAGGACAAGGACGTTGTGATGTCCCAAATGTGTCACAATCCATGATTCGACAAAAACTATCTATTTTTATGCATTATCCATGATTCAAAAATTGCATTATTTATGACTGATCAATTACAAAATGCATATTTTCAAAACTTAATATTTTGTAATAGCCTAATGCTACCCAAGGCTAGCTCAAAGCACAGAAGTGTCAAGCTCGGAAAACAAAGTTAGAAGTAAGGACAGAACAAGGAATCAAAGCAAGAACCAACCTTCCCCCCAAACTTACGACTTTTTCTTTGTATAAATGTATTACAGACACAACACTATCAAAAGTATCTGCAAGGGATATATGACAAGACCGCTATCTTTACATAGATAAATGCTACCAAGCCTAAATGTGTCAAGCTAAGAATTTCTTTCCCTTTCTCGCATTTACATAAGGCTAAGCTCTGCCTCCATCATTGCATAGGGCTAAGCGGTGCCCTTATTATCTTCATAGGGCTAAGTACTGCTTACTTGCATGGGCTAAGCTTTGCCTCCATCATTGTATAAGGCTAAGCATTGCCTTAATTTTGCATAGCGCTAAGCACTCCCCTCATTACTTGTACTAGGCTAAGCTCTTCCTCTATCATCGCATAAGGATAAGCATTGCCTTCATTTTGCATAGGTCTAAGCACTATCTTCATTACTCGCATGAGGCTAAACACTCCCTCCACATCTACATAGGGCTAAGCACTGCCCTCATCACCTGCATAGAGCTAAGCACTGCCCTCATACCTGCAAGAGGCTAAGCTCTGTCACCATTATTGCATAAGGCTAAGAACTACCTTCCTCTGCATATGGCTAAACACTACCCTAATCACTTGTATAGGGCTAAGCACCGCCTTTATATTTGCATAAGGCTAAGAATTGGCTTCTACTTGCATAAGGGCTAAGTATTGCCATCATTCCTCATCACCCGTATAGGTCTAAACACTTCGCTCATACTTTCATGAGGCTAAGCTCTGCCTCCATCTCACACAAGGATAATCATTGCCTTCCTTCATTCCTATATAAGGTTGAACCCTGCCTTCGTTATCTGTGTATGGCTAAGCACTGCATATTTCCTCTGTCGAACAGTCAAATATCACCACACCTTTGCATTTTATGGGCTGAATTATCCCCAAATTATCCAAAGGCGTCATAGTCTGAAGGATCCATTTTCATGGCCCGAGGACACCATTCCATGGCCTAAGGATCTCAAAGCTGCATATAATTATTCGAAGGCATCATAGTCCAAAGGCACCATCCACATGGCCCGAGAACACCGTTTCATTGCATGCGAACCCCTTTATTACACGTTCCATGGCCCAGGATGTCGTGGTCTAAGGATATCATCCTCATCGTCCGAAGACAACTTTCATGGTCCGAAGGAAATTTGCATCATGTTTAAATTTCCGCACTCGCAACAATGATACTATAAATGTTATGTATATGATTCCGTATTCGCTGCATTTTACACTTTGTAGGTAACTCGAAAGGTAACCATTCTTCAAACAAGAGCAATTCTTGCTCCGGTTTCCGTTCAGATGTTCACATTCCTTTGATATCTCCAAGAAACCGCCAACCAATAGCCGAGCATTTCTTTTCCGTAATCATTCCCCAATTACATCACCTCATGCATTTGTAACGGATAATTCAACATTATTGTCATTTATACTCTCCGTCTTTGATATCAACTATTCACGACACCTCCCTATCCAGAGAAAATCATTTTTTAAAGCATGCAATCTTTCCATAATGACTCCATCGATCTCATTAGCCTTTGGATCCAGAACTATACATGGCTTGATTCCTGTGAACCAGGGATATGTAGACAGCTCAAGAACCAAGGTCTAGCCCCGATATTTTTAACATCCCATACCCCATTCTCATCTATCCGGAAAAATTGATTATCATCTCGATTTATTTACCCGACAATTCTTTCATTATTCCTGGGTAAGGAGGGGCAACTATTGATACTCAACGTTTTGCTCACTTTTTACCCTTAACCATTATATTTTACCATGTATTTTTATATATTTTTAATAATATCTATAGAATATTTTATTGCCTATTTCATGAAATGTTTCAAATATCAATTCATTATCTTCATAATACTTTTATCAAATTATTATGAAAATTGCATACAAATAATTTTATTCACTATAAGCATTTTTAATCAATTCATGTATTTTAATTGATAAATATTTATTTATTATTCCCTCAAAATTATTTTTGAGTGATTAGTTGTCCAAACTAGTCGTTTATATTTTTTACGCATATCTCATAATATTTACATTATTTCATACGATTGCATTTGCATTTTATACCATTTGCATATTATTTTACATAATAGCCAATAGTTTTCAATAATTATATTTATTATGCTATTTAGGTCAAAATAGCATTTTTATATTTTTACTATTACAATCTATTATTTTAAAATTAATTTGAAAAATAGCATTTTAATCATTTTAATCCATTTGAGGCCCAAATCAAACACTCCAGACCCAAAACCAAATGACTTGCACCTAATGCCCCCGACCCGGGGCTCCCTTTTAATCCTAGTCGTTTATCTCAAAGATTATCGGCTCACAATCCATCCCTCTCTTTTATCTGACCAAACCCCACCCCTAACCCGTATTTTCCCATTTCGGCCACCCTCAGTCACTCTCTTCATAGCTCACGATGAAACCCTAGCCGGCCATGAAGATTTTCTCTGTTCTTTCCTTTTTACGCGTCCATACGCAGGCTCACATACTTTATTCGTGCTCACTCGCTCAGTTATGGTAACATTCGTTACCAATCCATCTATGGAAAGTATGATTCTCCTGAATCGGGTTGATATGACTTCAACCTTATGGATCCGGACACGATTGTGGCTCTGTAAATCCAGAAAGGGAGAATATTTCTATGTCCCTGCGTATTTCCGTCGATTTCTTCTCGATTAAGGTTTACATGAGTTTTATTCGATTTTGTTATTTGATTGATCTTTTTCTTTTTCTGATTATGTGAATCTAACACTATATAAACCCCTTCCGCAATTCCCCTAAACATACTTTATTGACTACTCCCGAACACTCGCAAATTGTTATATTGTGTTCTGGTTCTCTGAAACTATTGTGTTCGATTTGGTTCTTATCCGGCTAAAGGACAAGGCCACCGTGGTATTTCTTAATTACCTCCTCTAGTGAAAGCACTTCTCGAAGCCCTTTCGAGGCTCTTGTTAACTCTGAAGCACCGGAGACTTGGGGTTCTCACTATCCTCCTTCAATTGCTACTACTGAGCCACTACTGAAATGCTAATTTTCTTACTCTTTTGCTCTTTTATCTTTGCAACTGGTTAGTGCTCTTGACTCTTACAGTTTTAATTCTTACTTCTCTACTTGTTCATGTTACATGTATTTTGTGTGCCAATACTGTGTAAACACCTATCAAAATAGACGAGCATGACTTAGGTAACCCTGCTATTTGTGAACTCTAATATTGCACTTTTGTCGTATGATTTGCTGCAATTTCATAGTCAAATATTGTTTTGAGGATCCATGTATGTTAATGTTAAGTCTTTGTGTAAGGATTTATTTTTTGTTATGACTAAATCATGACCATGTCTGCCCTGAATTTTCATGTAAAGTCTTTCCTGTAAGGACTTCTGCTTGTTATGTTCTCAGGATTAAGTTCTTGATTATGTATTACCTTAGATTTTCATGCTGAAGTCTTCCCCGTGAGGACTGCTATTGTTATCTTCTCGGAATTATTTCCTGGATATTTTTTATCTTAGATTTGCATGCTAAGCCTTTCATGTATGAACTAGTATTTGCCATCTCCTCAGAATTAGTCCTTGACCATGCTTTATTTTTAGGTTTTCATGTTAGAGCTTTTCCTGTAAGTGCTTGTATTTAGTTACCCTCCTAGGATTAGTTCATGACCATGTTAAACTTTCATGCTAAGTCTTTCCTGTGAAGGACTCGTGTCTGTTATGTTCTTTGCGTTCAAGTACTGACTACTCTAGGAGGTCTATCTTTGTGAGGCTGTCATTGTGAACTAATTCTATGTACCTGGTAAAGCCATCAGATGTATGTTTGTTCTAACCTATATGTTTTGTATACCCCCTTCATGTTCCTACCATTTCATAAGATTTTATGAGGCTAATAGACTTTCAAAGGTGTCCTTTCCTTATTTATGTGCTCTTTCACCTCTTAAATATCACATCCTATGATATTATTTAAAGGTTCTTGTTCTTTGTTAGTTGTAAAAATAAGGACCCAATGTGCATATGTTCTTTCCTAAATTTGAAGTCGCCTAAATAACTGATTTGCGTAGGCTTTCACTTATGTTCTTTGCGTTCCTGTTGCTTGTTAATAATAATGGGTAAACAAAGTAGTTGCTTCTTTTGGGACTGGTTTGTTGGGCCAGGTTTGGTATTAGGTCAGAAATACACTGTCAGCGTGGCCTTTGCACCTAGAGTTTGGGCTTGCCGCCCGCATGAAGTTCTATGTCTATTTGAAGGCCCAGATGCGTTATTGGGTTGTTTTATAATTGTGCCTGTAACTATTCTATTTGATCTGTAATAACTTGTAAAAATAGATGATGGGGAATATAGTCTTAAGAGGGGCTTGGGGTAGTTTATTTACTACATAAATGGGTTAAAAGCATGCATATAGTATCATGTATTAGGATTTAATATTTTAGTATCATGCATATGGGATTTTTAATTAGTTCAATTGATCCTACTACAAACTATGCTCTTAATACTTCATACCTAGGAATAATGGCTATAGGTCCCATAAATAAGAACTTGTATCACTTAACTCCTGTGTCATTTTAAAAACAGTCTGAATCATAATCATTTAGAAATCTTGCCCATAGTACTTAAATAATGAAGTTTGTCTTCTTTGATTATCCATGTATAAGTTCTGAATTTAATTAGTTGCAACTGGTCGTCTGCGATTCCACATAGAAACCGTATTTTAGGACTAATTAATTCAATGCGCATTAGCTCATGACTGCCCGACTTAATCTTGCGACTAGAAGAGCATATTCATAGGGCAATTCACTTATCAATTCTGCCATTTCTCCATAACTGTTAATCGATATTTGTTGACATTCATGCAGGTCTTTTGTGGAGGTAAACATGAGCCATTTGTGCTAACTGTACTTTTTATGAAGTTCAGTTTGTTAATTATGTGGCACCTAGTATTTTAATTTTGAAAAGCCTAGGATGAGTCGAGAACCACTTGTATAGCGGTCCAATACCTCCTGGACCATAGGCATGGGATAGGTAGACATATATAGGGTACAACTTAGATTGAATTAGTGCGCTTTAGGTAAACAATTGAAGATAGTAATCGGGTAGCTAGAAATGATAGTTTGTGCTTGCTGGATAATATGCGAAACCATTGCACTTAAGTGTTAAAAAGTATTANGTCATGTCTAAATGTTGTTGCCCCTTTAGTTAGTTGAGGAATTTAGGTTTATCTAAATTTTACATCTTGTAGCCAAAAGAGTTGTACCCATTAGTTTATTCTTTCAAATTATTTCCTTTATATTACTTCTTTATTATTTCTTTTGATTAATTACTTCATCCTATTCCACCTATTCCACCTAGAGTAACTAATCATTTACTTAGACTCTTTTATTCCATTATTTTTACCAGGGATTAATTTGCATGCTCACTAAGAATAATTATTTACAATTTGATCATTCCCACATCTTTTATAATTTGGACGGGAAATACAGTTGTCGACCTCGAAGAGTGCCTAACACCTTCTCTTGGAGGTAATTTGAGCCCTTACCCGATCTTTGGTAACACAGACTAGTTAAAACGGAGTTATTTACAAATAACGCACCTTAAAAAATTATTAGGTGGAGACTTTTCTCTTTTAATACCTGTTTAAGAGAGTTGTCACATGTCGAAACCCGTTCTCGCGAGAAAACAGAGGGAAACACCTATCACATCTTTTCACAAAAGCATGTGTATCCTTGAACAAAGTCGGCCAATAGAATCCCGACTGCAACACCTTTGCCGCAGTTTTGTCTCCACCATGGTACCCTACATAAGGTGATGCATGACATTCATGAAAAATTTCTTCCATCTCCTCCTCAGGGACACATCGGCGCACAAACTGATCTGCACAATGCTTAAACAAAAATGGCTCATCCCAAAGATAAAATCTAACATCATGCATGAATTTACTCTTACCATCCGTTGAAAACTCTGAAGGCGTCACCCCACTTACAATGAATTTCACATATTCAGCATACCATGGGGCTACGCTAGCCATAACGGCTAACAGTTTCTCATCAGGAAAGGTTTTCTGAATCTCGCCCTCTTCATCGGCATGCGTGCAAGTTTCCAATGCCATAAGTGATCGGCTACCTGATTTTCAATCCCATTTTGTTCTTTAATTTCCACATAAAATTCCTACAAAATAAGAACCCATCAAATTTGTCTAAGATTAGTATCCTTTTTTCTCAAATAAATACTTGATGGCTGCATGGTCTGTATAGACGATGACTTTAGTTCTCACCAAGTAGGCCCTAAATTTGTCAAACGCCCACAATATCACTAGCAACTCTTTTTTTTTGTGACCGTGTTATTTATCTATGCTGGATTTAATATTTTGCTAGTATAGTAAATCGAGTAGAACACTTTGTTTTTCTACTGGTCTAGTACGACCCCAATTTCCATGTCAGTACATCACACTTCAACTCAAACGGCTCCCCCAATTTGGGGCGGTGTTAATCGGTGCAGTCACCAATCTCTTTTTTAACTCCTCATATGCCTTCAAGCAATCCTCATCAAACTTCAAAGGTCTGTCCTTCTGAAGCAACCTCCACAAGGTAGTAGAAATCTTAGAGAAATATTTAATGAATCTGCGATAGAAACCTGCATGACCCAGAAAGCTTCTAACTCATTTGATATAAATTGGAGGTGGATGTTTATCAATTGCTTCCACTTTTGCCTTATCCACTTCCAACCTATGTTTGGACGCTTTGTACCCGAGTATAATCCCTTCTCGTACCATAAAATGGCACTTCTCCCAATTCAGTACCAAGTTTGTCTCTTCACATCTATCAAGCACTTTACTAAAATTCATTATGCATTCATCAAAAGATAGTCTGAAGACCGAAAAAATATCCATAAATACTTTAATAAATATTTCTACAATATCAGTGAAGATTGCCATCATGCACCTTTGTAAAGTCGCAGGTTCATTGCACAACCCAAATGGCATTCTCTTAAAAGCATAAGTGTCATAAGGGCAAGTAATGGTGGTCTTATCTTGGTCATTTAGTGCAATTAATATTTGATTATAGCTGGAATATCCATCAAGAAAATAACAATAGTCTTGTCCGGCTAACCTATCTAACATCTGATCAATGAAGGGAAGGGGGAAGCGATCATTTCTAGTAGCAATATTTAATTTCGGGTAATTTATGAAAATTCATCAATATGTGACAATTCTAGTTGGAATTAATTTATTATTCTCATTTATGACTATCATCATTCCACCCTTCTTAGGCACACACTTTATTTGACTTACCCACTTGCTATCAGAGTTGGGAAAGATAACACACCTGCATCTAGCTACTTTATGACTTCCTTTCTTACCACTTCCTTCATGACTAGGTTCAAGAGGCGTTGATGTTTCACACTTAGTTTATGCCCATCCTCCATGAGAACTTTATGCATACAAAACATTGGGCTAATACCACGAATGTCATCCATGGTCCATCCAATCGCACGCTTGTGCTCTCTAAGCATGCGAAGTAGCTTCTCATCCTACAAAATAGACAACTCAAAAGATACAACAATAGGTAAAGTTTCGTTAGCACCCTAATAAGCATAATGAAGGTAAGACAGAAAGGACTTGAGCTTCAATTTGGGAGATTCTTCGATGGACGGCATGGATGGTGGCTGTCAATCTAGAGGCTCGAAATTAATCATCCCTTTGATTTAAGCACATGCATCAAGATAGTGCACCGTCTCCTTAACCTCATCATCCAAGTCAATGATGTCGAACAACATAAGTGCTTTCTCTATAGAGTCATCCAGATATGCATCCACGTCATTATTTTCTTCTTCCTTTTCAACCACTGAGATCATAGCATTGGCGGTGGCTAAGAGGGATCGTCCCAAGATAATTGCAACATGTTCATCAGCTTCATAGTCCAATATGATGAAATACGCCGGGAGAATAAAAAACCAATTTGTAGTAGCACATCTTCTATCACCCCCTCCCTCCCGGGATGATCAATAGATCTATTAGAAACATGTACCATGAAAGTGGTTTGCCTTTGGGCCCCCAAACCCAACTGACTGAAAATCGAGAGAGGCATCAAATTCATGCTAGCCCCCAAATCACAAAGTGCCCGTCCTACATCCATCTCATCAATTTGAACAGGGATGGTAAAGCTTCTAGGATCCTTCAACTTTTAGGGCAACTTTCTTTCAATTCGTAAAGTGAACTCTGCAGTAAGTGATTCTATTTCAAACTTCATCAATCATATTTTGTTTGCCACAATATCCTTGACATACTTAGCATTCTTCGTAATTTCACGTAACACATAACCTAATGGGAGATATAGTTGGATTTGGCTCAGTATATCAAGAAATTTATTGAACATTCTGTCATCACTCTTCTTCTTCAAACTTTGTGGGAAGGGGTGGTGGCCTTGCAATTGGTGTTTTCTCACTTTTCTCAGTATCATTCCCAATTTTCACCACAGCTTTAAGAACTAGTTCGCCTTCAGGAGTGACTTATTCTTTCTTTTTTTTTTGGTACTTCTTTCAATTCTCCACTATTCCTTAAAGATATAGCATTTACTTGAGGATTCATCTATGTATCACTTTGAAGGACACCTGCAGGTTGAGTATTTTTATGTGCGGGCAACTGCCCAATGTGCCTCTCTAAATTTCAAAAATTAGTCCTCAACTATTGGTTGTCAATTACATCATTTTCAACATATCATTGTGCTTTCCTCTACCTGTTGTAGTGGCTTTTGGGGCAGAATATAGTTTCCTTGGGGTCTGTATTGATTTTGAGTAGCCCGATTTCCACCCCATGAGAAGTTTGAGTGATTCCTCCAGTTGGGATTATAAGTGTTCCCATATTGTGCATTTGGTTCATTAGACCTCTATCCTGATGTCCCACATAATAAATAGATTCTGGATTTATCGGACATTAGTAACTCATGTGAACATCTCCACAAACTTCACAAACTGCATTCATCGGTTGCACATGCTGCATCTAATGTGCTTGTTGCATCGACATCTTATTCACTTGATTGGCTAACTTTTCTATATCTGCTCTCATGGTTGAGAACTCATCAAGCACAGTTGTACCTACTACTCTCTATTTTATAATTCTTTGTGGTTCACCCTCACCTTGCCAGTTATGATCGTTCACAATGTTATTCCGTAGAGTCTGAATCTCACTGTATGGCTTTTGCATGAAACTACCTCCACAAGCTGTGTCTAGATTCAATTTGGAAATCTCGTCTAACGTATCCACAAAAGTATGACCCAACACTTCATTTGTTTGACAGTGATGCGGGAAATCTTTGAGTAGTTTTTTATATCTCTCTCAAGCTTGACATAGAGTCTCGCCATATATTTTTTTTCAAACCCCAGAATTTGGCTTCTCAGTGACTTTGTTTTCTTTGTGAAAAAAATTTTGATGAGGAATTTCCGTGCTAGATCATCCCATATGTGGATTGAGTTTGTTGGCTCTTTGTTCAACCATTCCTTTGTTTCTCCCAACAGAGAAAAGGGAAACAAGGTTAGTTTGATAGAGTCCTTGGAGACATTCAAATAGTTGTATGTATCTATAATCTCCAAAACAAATTTATATGTGCCTTTGCGGTTCTTCACTCGATAAACCTACAAATTGCCATGTGGATTGAATTGGTTGCACTATGTACTATTTCAGCTCGAAGTAACCAGTTATGTCAGGCTTCACGATAGCCTGAGTCATGTTTGTGAGACTAGTCCTTGTGGCCTCAATCACCGGTCTCTCATCATTCTCTACCATCTTTATTGATTGTGGTTGGACTACGATGCCCAACTCTGCAGTTCTTGCTCTTTCTTGTGCCTCCCTTCTTAACATATGAAAAAGTCTTTCGGGTTTAGGATCAGGGAAAGAAAGATTGTTCAAATTGTTACTTCTTCTTAGCATTCAATGTGAACACATGTAGAGTCAGAAACAATAAAACAAATTAAAACTCGAACAACAACAAATAAAATCTTATTTCAGACAAGTAGCTAATTTCTAAATCCCAGGCAATGGCGCCAAAAACTTGTTGGGTCCGAACGCACACGCAAGTATGCGCGGTCGACAGGTAAAAAAGTGATGAGAAAGTATCGTCCCACGAAGATTTATGATTAACTCTCGTCTAGCCTAAACAATTATAAGTAAT